TGTTATCGCCCCCCCATAATATAGCCAAGGAAACAGGTTCAGAGTCCATTACATTTTCCAAGGCAGCAGGGGTAGGAGACTGACTTCAAAATCCAGGCTTGCCAACATTCTGCTATGTTGTGTCATTCGATGCTCAATCCGGCAGACGCTGAATGACGTTGTTAAGGACGCATGGCTGCCGCAGCCCTGGATTAAAGCAAACACCTGGCACCTCCATGGCACTGTGGGTAGTGCCCCTAAATTCCCCTGTCCTGATTGGCAACGCTGCACACGGAGCAAACCCTCACAAACACCTTGAGTGGGGGACTTTGACACACTCACTCAGGTGTGAGGTTTGTAGTGTTGCCCAAGTAGAATTCAAAACACAACACCACTCGACTCTGAAATAAACTGTCAGTTCTGTAAAATGATACAAAACATTCTTATAGGCCTAAATTAAAATGAGCTCTTGGGATTGTCTGATTTTATTTTTGACCCATGCCTTGCTGGGGTCCTGAGCTCGCGTTGGGGTATCCTGTCTGGCCACGCAGCCCCAGTCCCAGGGTTCGCCCTCTCGGGTCCGTGTTTGGCGATTCTCTCATGTCGCCCACAGAGGCTTTTCTAGACTGTCCGTTTTCTCCAAGCCCCACCCCCTGACGCAGCAGAAAAACTAGTTCCACTTTCTCTGGGAGAGTAGGGGTCGGACCCTCGCAAGGTTCCCATTCCCCTCTCCCCCTGCAATACAAAGAAACTGTAACCAAAGTGAATTGAGCGCTGCCTATCTGCCAGGCACCGTACGAAACACAAAATAGACGTTTTGTTTTCACTTAAAGGTCATAAGAAATCGTGAGGCATATGTTATTATTATCCCCCAAATTAAACTACTCACTGTCTCAATTTGAGTTCTTAGCAAAGGAGCCCTTTGGCTCTTTGGCAGTTCAGGGAATGCATAGCCAGGCTTAAAAAGTGGGTTGGGAAGTGGGGTGGGTGGAGCCGGAGTGAGAAATCACCCTATGACCCAGTTCAGGGAGGGTACAGCTGCCACGGAACCCCGTTGCTCGGGACCCTGAGCTCCACTCCTGCTTGCCCAGCTTCTCTGGGGCCCAGGACACTGGACGCCACTGTGGGCTCCTTTGCTGAAATAAATCCTCCACTGTTCCTGCTTCCTGGAATCACCTGATTCGAAAACCAGAATGGGGGCACCTGATTGGCTGAGCCTCCGCCTCAGTACTCACATCCCGCCGCAATAGAGGGAGGAAAATAAGTATTTGCACTTCGGGGTTGGGTCTGCCACTCCCCGAGGTGGGGGTGGTGAGGGGACTCCCCCAAAACGGGAAGGTGAGTACGGGCAGCAGACAGACAACAGAACAAAACAGACAGACATCTACAGCAGCCACATAGGTAGCAAAGGCAGGATTTGAATTTGAGTCTGTTTGATGTAAAAGTTTGAGGTTTTAAGGACACCGTTACGCAGTCATTGTACAAACCCTCCTTCCTCTCAAAAGAAAGCTGTCTCTGCTGAAGTCCACTGTTCCCATTTAATCCTTTGACTCCACTCCCATGGGCTTCCCTTGGATTTTTCTCTATCAACAAACCCCTCCCTCTTTCGTATTTTCAATATCTCTAATTACACAGTGTATTTCTCCTCAGCTCTAATGATGTTACATCTCTCACATCTTTGCAAACACATATCCTCAGAACCTTCTCCTTGGTCTGGGCCCAGAGAGTCCTGGGTTTGAGTCCTGACCCGCTCGGTGGCCCAGGTGCAGTCATTTCGCCTCCCTGAGCCACAGTTTCCTGCTTAGTCATACGTATTTCCTCGTGTGTTTTAACCCCAGACAACACTCAATAGATAGTGGATGGCATTATCATAAACAGTACTTTCATCACAGCTGGGGGCAGGAATGGGTAGTGACTACAGACTGGTATGGCGGGTATTTGGGGGCGATGGAAATGTTCCAGGATTGGGCTGCGGTGATGCTGATACAGCTCTGTATTAAAACTCATTGCATTCTCCACTTCATGAGTGGCTTTTATGGCATGTAAATTATGCTTCAATAAAGCTGTTATAAAATAACGAAGGGCACAAAGCGCTGTTACTTCTCTCTGCGGGGACTCCTCACGTTTTTTCTAGGCGAGAATCCCTAGAGGCCTCTTTCAGAAGGCCTTCCTCACAGTCGCTGGGGCCCCTGCTGTGCGGAGTCTGAAGAAACAATCAGAGACAGAGTTGCGAGTAGAAGTGCCATTGCTGGGAGCCAGTCGGACCAGGATTCATATCCTGCATTTCTCATGTGGTCCTCTGGGCAAAAGGTTAACTTCAGAACTTTAGTTTTCAAATCGGTACAATGGGGGAGAACTCTTTCTGGTTGTTGTGAGGATGAAAGGAGACCATACCTGTGAAATACTTGTCACTGAACCTAGCAGAGAGTCAGTGCTCATTAGCTGGCTACTATGGCTACGTTCCCCAGCCTGGGGAGGGCTCTCCCCGGAGGGTTCCAGCTCTTAGCGATGCCTTTCTTCTCTGACGTTCTTGACTCACGCTCTCTCAGCCACAAAGCAGGCACTGCAGTTTCTCCCGCCAGGGACACAGCCTCCTTGCTGACCTTCCCTCGCAGGCCTCTGCCCTGGGACTTATCTTCAGCAGTGGCAGTCAGAGTGATTCTTCTCGGTTAAAAATACGAGTTCTGACCATGCCACCATGGTCCTCTCTACAAGAACTCCCTACTGCCAGTTTCTTACAGGATGGACTCCAAAGCCCCAAGCGTGGGTTGGCGGCCCCTCCTCCCATGAGGGTCTGCTGTCTGCCTCACCTGCCTCAATGCCTCCCCTTCTGTCACAAATAGTCACAGCTACAGCTGTTTACTGACCACTGTCCTGTCCTCGTCCATGGAAACCTGCTCTCAGTTCTTTCTCCTCCCTGCCAGGAAGCCCTTGAGCTGCGTGCTTCACCCGACTGAGTGTTGGTTTTATCATCCATGAGTTGAAGGTTTCTGAGTTCCACCTCTGAGGACTGTTCTGAAGGGAATGATGATAAATATGGGGCTGACAATAATAACAATCATGAAGAACAACAATAATAATAGTTAATAATTATTCAGCACCAACGATGTGTCAGGTACTAAGCGATTTACAGAAGTTATCCCATTTTAGGAAATCAGGTATAGTTATGATTTGTGTGTTATCATAGGAAGCTCAGAAAATTTGCCTTATTCAAGGTCAACAGGTACCGAGTGTCCGGGCCAACACTCAAGTCCAAATCTGTGTGATACCAAAACCTACTCTCTAATCCTAGTGGTTTAGGGCTCTAGACTTCTCTGCTTTGTCTTCCCTCAGAGCCTCTCAAGTTCTGCCCGAGGCCCAGCCCTTACTCAGCTTCTTCAGAAGCTCAGCTGAAGGGGCACGCACAGTTCACCTGCTTCCCCTGCACTCTGGAAGGACTTGTGCTGCCGGCCTGTTAGATCACTTCTCTTCGTCTTAGTAAGTGTATGTTACTTATTCAGCCTACACATACTTACTAATGTACCTGCAATGTGCCAGGTGTGTCAGAGATTTCTACCTGTTCTTCCATAGCTGTCCTCCCCTTCTCAGTAAGACACCTCTAGAATTTTAGCTGGCCGTGGCTGCCCAGAATAAAGACAATATTCCCGGCTTACCTTGCAGCGAAGCTTGGCCATCTGTGTGAGCCCTGGTGGAGAGCCTGGAGTGGAAGCGGTGTGTACAGATTCTGAGCAGGGCCGTCAGGGGAAAAGGTGTGCACTTCACTTCCTTCCTTCTCTTCCCCCGATGGCTGCATTGGGGTCTCGACCGTGAGAAATGGAGCAGCCCTCCTGGACCATCGAGTGAAGCTGTCTTTGAGGATGGCAGAGCCTCCAGCCAAAAGGATTTTTGCTCCTGCTGAATGGCGAAGCCGTTACACTTAGCTGCTTCCCCAGACTTTTACATAAAAAACAAGTCAGCCCTGGCCAGGTGACTCAGCTGGTTGAAGCATCGTCCCGTGCACCAAAAGGCTGTGGGTTTGATTTCCAGTCAGGGCACACACCTAGGTTGCAGGTTCAGTCCCCAATCAGGATGCGTATAGGAGGCAACTGATCAGTGTTTCTCTTTCACATCTGTGTTTCTCCCTCTTAAAAAATAATCAATAAACATATCCTCAGATGAGGATTAAAAATTGATTATGGTAAATTTAAACAACAACAAAAAAGAAACCGAGTCTGCCTTTTAGAATTATTGTTTGGGGAAAGAATATTTGTTAAAATAGTTGAATTACTATCCGAATTGTATCCTAACTACGCTTAGTTACACCAGCTGATGTGATGGGCACTGGGGTTCCGACGCCAATTTCTGACCCTCCAGTGGGAGAGACAAAGGTGACCCATGTCAAATTAAGTTTAGAAACAACCGAAAAACCTGCGAGGGTCACGACACAGTTGATGACGAGCCAGGGTGACTGCAGGCGGGAGCACCGTCATTATCCAGGTGACCAGGAAAAGCCTCTCCGAGCAGGTGACGTTTGGGATGAGACTGAGCAGGAGCCAGCACGGCAAGGTCTGGAGGACAGACTTTGCAGGAAGAACAGATTTCCTGAACTGCCAGTGAGATTGGCAAGTTCAAGGTTCAGAAACGATACAGAGTGAGATTGGCCAAGTTCGAGGTTCAGAAACGATACATGTGTGGATCCTCCTGTTAAAAAACTGAGGATGTTTTTGTTCTTTTCACTAAATGTTTCTCAATATGTGTTTAAGTACTAATCAAACAATGTGCTTATGGGTCTCAAAAAGCCAAACGGCTTTGATCTGCTGGTCTCTTTATCAGGAGGGAAAGCTGCTTCGGGTGGGTGCTGGCCAGTTTCCCACATGCCCCCCTTGCACTTTGCAGCCACATTTGCTACACGCTGTCCTTCGGCCTGGCTGACCTCGTATAAATCCTCTCCCGCTATACTTCACTGCCCACGGCCCTGCCAATAAAAGCGAGGCTCATCCCGACTGCAGAGAGCTCTGTTTCTATCCTCGGCAACACAGCCACCTCCCTCTCCTGTGACCTGCCAGCCATGAAGCCTCTATTCCTGTTCCTGGCTATTCTTCTGGCCATGGAACCAGTGGTGTCAGGTAACTCAGGTCTCTCAAGTGTCTGGGATCCCAGTCATGAACTCCTCTTCTTCTCTTTCCTCCTGGCTGTGGGCAGCATAGAAGCTCTTCCCCATTTCATGTGGCTTTGGGAGGTTTGCCCATGATCCCCTGCTGTCCACATCTCTCCCTGATGCTTTTTTGGTCAAGGCGGTGGGATGACAGATGTTTGGAGCATCTGGCATATGAGGGCAGGATAGTATTCTGGTGGGATCTTGGGAGTGGGCTGGGGGGTAAAGTCTGGGTGTAGGTTGGGGACTTTTGGGGGCTTCAGGAGATTAGATTGAAGGCTGGGGGTGAGTTGTGAGGAGGGAGAAAGACCTTCGGGTTGGTGTGAGGGAGGGAGGCTTCGGATGAGCTGAGGGTGAGGAGCGGGGGGTGCACTGATGGTTTGGGGTGGGCTGGAGAGGGACTGGGATTCTGGGTGAGTGAAGCTGGTGCTGGAGACTAGACTGGGGTTGGCCCGAGGCTGGGAGCCGGTGCTGGACGGTGCAGGGTGTTTATTAGAGGCGGTGCGGAGAGGGACTACTGCTCAGAACTGAGGTCAGTGACTCACTTGGATTTGGGTTTGGCTTGGAGTTGGGGCTCAAGGCGCATTGAGCTAGGTAAGGTTGGGGGTTCTAATTAAGGTTAGACTGGGTTTTCAGTTTGAATTAGGTGAATATGTGGTTAAGGGGAATTGGAGATTGGGTTTTAGCTGGAGCTGGGGCTTGTTGGGCTTAAGTCAGACAGGGCCAGGCTACTGATGGAGAGGCGGTTCTGTTGAAGTGTGTGTGAGTCCCCTTCCTCCCCTTACATTATAGGGTGTTTTTGTCCTTTTCCCATTATTCCCAAGCTCCATTAGGTTTTGAGTTTCAATGGCAGCAGTTGATCCCAAGCTTAGAAGTAGAAGGTTGGGGGCTAGGAAGACAGAAGGGTGGAATGTGTGAAAGAAGCTTTCTAAAAAACCTTGGTGTTCCCAATTTTGGAACAACTGGCTCCAGCATCGCCGACTCAACCTCCTCTCTGACCTTCTCCCCTGTCCTCCTGCTCCTTTTCTGCTTCCTCTTGCCCCCCCCCCCCGCTTGGGGGATACTAACACGGTTGTTCCTGTACTCAATAGTGTCCTGTTGGATGAATGGACAGTGCCGGTTGGTGTGCAAAGATGATGAAGAGAACGTCCTACGCTGCCCAAATCGTAAACGGTGCTGTATTCTTAGCCGTTACTTAACGATGGAACCAGTAACAATTGATGGGATACTCCCCTGGACCACTCCTCTGCCTACTAGAAAACCGAAACGTAAGGGCAGACCTGGCCGCAGAGTTGAAAGATAGATGGAAATCGTGTGTGGGAATGACTTTACTTCAAGTTTCTCAGTTTCCACATTCCACTAAAACTCCCAGATCGATTTCTTGTGCCTGTCCATCATGAGAAATGATGCTCCAGATGGATTGAGGGTGAGGAGATGGCAGATAGGAGGTAACTGGTAGCAGAGAGACATCCCTGAGTCTGAGTCACAGCGATGGAGTGATGATTACAGTCTTGAAGATTGTCCCTCATGTTCCAGCTGCAGGAAAGGCTGTTGGGCCAGGAGTGGATGGAGGCGCACACATGGAAAGCTGAGCCTGAGAGGCGCAGCAGATGCCTAGAGAGGTGTGTGGGGGGGGACTCCTGGACTCAGAGAGTTGGTCCATCTTGGGGGTGAATGGACTAGCGGGGGACAGGGACTGAGTAGCACCCAAATCCTCGGATTTCTGGGTAAGTTGACTGAGATGAGATGCCTTTTGATGCTCCAGAGCTCACAGTTCCAAGGATCAGAAAGTTTCCAGGCACTACAAAAAGATAAAATATGTGAACTTACTAATTTGTAAATGCAGTTATTCTTCATTCTCTACATTCTTTCCTGGTTTCATTCATTCATTCATTCGCTCACCTCGGCTCCGCCACTCGCCGCTGTCAGACGTGTGCGTTCACGTCTCAGGACATCAGCTTCTCTGTTGAAAAACGGGATAAGAGACTCCATCTCCGGGTGGGGTGAGAAGGAAATGAGAACATGGTGAGCACAGTGCTCAGTACATAGTAAGGTCTCAGTAAATGCTGGCTGTTGCTCTCCTTCACTGACTTATTCAGGCATTTAAGGAACGAGTGCTCTGCATCTTCCAATGGTGTTCGACTCTGAGGACCGTAGAAGCGTGTCTCACTTCAACTAAAAATTTCGTCTGGGAGAAGGATCACCCATGAGGAATGTTCAAGAATTCTGATTGGGGATATAGAGGATTCTAGAGGTATCTTCCCAGGCACTGTTGTCTTAGATCCCATCCGCTAGGCTTTATTTGGCCGACACAAGAGAACAACGCTGTGTTCCGAGCGGTGAAGTCAGGGAACGCAGTGTTCTGTGAAGTGCGGTGCGCAGTGCACGGTGCGCGGTGCACGGTACACAAGGCAGAGGCAGATCAGAGGAGTTCACTCTGACCTGTGCAGACAGTTTGCCCTCAAGTCAGTATTTCCACCCCCAGGCTCTGGGAAGAGAGACTCCTCCCCCTTCTTTAATCCTGATTCTCCCCTGGGCTCAGTCCCTTCCCATGCGATGAGGGGTTAATGGGGGCAAGGGAGATATTATATTCACCTAGAAAGTGTGGCCTCATGACTTCATAGACTATGCTTTGAATAGCCGGGCCCTGCAGTTTTCCTGCTTCCAGGGACCCCGAGGGCCTTTTACTCCTAGGCAGGAGACAGTCAGGGGCTGTGGCAGAGCTTGGGTGCTCGGGCTGGAGTGTCTACTCTGTGCACGTGAGCCTCCTCACTGTGTGGGGCAGAGCCGGGGATGGGCGAGAAGAGAGGCAGGCTGTGGGCTCAGCCGGCCCCCTCCTGCTTCCACATTGCTGCGAGGAACTCTGAAGATCTAAGAATCGTAAAATCAGATCTGACCCTTCAGCTGATCGTGAAAGGATATTTCATAAAAGGCAATTAGGATATATTTTAGGATATATTTTATTTATTCTGTTTGTTCACTTGATTCACACCTGGTACATATTCAGACATATAACTTATGAGCCTCCATTTGGATTCGCCCCAGGGTCCACAATGTTAGGGTTGTGCCAGGAGTTTGGGTTGTGCTCCGGCTCATGACCCATCACCAAACCCAGCTCAGAAGCAAGAGATGCGTAACCTGTGCTTCAGTCTCAGGGCCAATCTGTGCCTGGGGACTCCCGGGCTGTAGCCACCTGTGCCTGAGGCCCTGAGTGAGGCCAGAATACTTTGCAGGCTTCCCTGCCTCCAGATTTTCTTTGCTTTAGTCTCTATTATCAGAGAGATCCTTTCTCGGAAATTCACCTGACCATGTTGTTTTCTGCTTATCTCTCATTACTGCCGCTCACGGGCTTTCTCTTCAGCCACTCCTGTTCACAGTCCTCCTCCACCTTGTCTGCATCACCGGGCTCACCTCTATGACAAAGTCCTCCTGCCCCTTCAAAGCCCAGCTGATGCCCATACTCATGAAAGGCTTCACATAAGCTCACTATTTTTTTTAAAAAAGACTTTGTTTATTTATTTTTAGAGAAAGGGAGAGAGAAACATCAATGTGTGGTTGCCTCTCCTGCGCCCCCTACTGGGGACCTTGGCTGCAACCCTGGCATATGCCCTGACTGGGAATCAAACCGGCGACCGCTTGGTTTTCAGGCCAGCACTCAACCCACTGAGCCACACAAGTCAGGGTAAAGCTCACTATTTTTAAAAATTATAATAGTTCTCATTGACACTGATGTGTCAGGCACTGTGTGTGGTATTTGTAGGCCTGAAATCATTCCATTTTTACAACAGCTCTCTTATCATCCCAACCTTACTGATGAAGCAACAGAGATCTAGAGAGGTGGCATAATTAGCTAAGGTCACACAGCATTAAGGTAGAGCAGGGATTCAAAGTGAGTTCCGATTGGCTTCATAAAATGTCACTCTTACAAAGGTACGGCTCATATCAAGTTATTGTGTAATTATTTCAGGCGCTGCCCGCTTCCCACTAATCTCCCAAACATACACATACCAGTCATCTTATTTACGTCCGCATGCCTGATGTCAAGTGCAGTGCTTGGCACAGATGTGACTTAGTGAAGGTTTCTTCAGTGAACGAACACATGAATGAAGAGTTCACGTCTGAGAGCATGAGTGGATTGGGGTGCGGACACAAATGGCTAATGTATCAGGTATGAAGCAGGATGGGGTCTTTTCTGGGCTGCAGGGATCAGAGAACCGCTGCCTCAGGTATGTTTGGCTCTGGCTCTCGCTGCGAGGAAAGATGCAGAGCAGCTCCTGAGCCTTGCTCAAGTGGGTTCTTACTCATCAGGTAGTTTGCTCTTAAAAGACATTGATTTCATAGCGTGGGAGGTGGTCTGAGGGTTCTCCAATATCCGAGGCCTGGCGTTACCCTCTCCGCACATAGCCATTCATGCCCTGACCAAGTTAATTCATATGAGGCCTTGCCTATTCACTCAGCCAACAGCATTTATCACGAATTTGCCATGCTTTACACGGGGCACACAGAGACAGCTCTGGGGGTGAGAAAAGGGTTTGGAACGCAATGCTGAGACACGGTAAGTTTTCAGAAGACAGTTATCCCTGTGTCTGAATCTTTGAACTTGGGATCTGGGCATGTGAAATTCTGAAAATTCCCTCTGATTGTTCCTTTGAGAGATAAGGCCCCATCCCCTGATTTCTCTGCCGGACTTCCTTCATTCCTGATCACTCTCAAATACTGAGAATCTTTGATCTAGGCAACTTTCCTGTCTTCCCATGTCACAGATGGGGAGACTGAGGCCCAAGGAGGAAAAGTGGCCTTTGTTCATAAGCAGGTTCAAGGTAATGTGGAGATTAATAAGCAGGTCATGTCTGAGGGGAGACGGGAGATGAGATTAGGCTGATGTGGGTACTAACAGTGAGTGCTGATGCGGAGCAACATGGGGTCGACAGGAGGGCAGATGTTAGGCGCTGCAAAGCCCCTGACGAAAACTTTGGGGTTAGGTTGGGCACCTTTGAACCCCCTTTCTGTGGGCACCACGGCCTTGCTCCAGGGGGAAGGTTTGAAACAGGCTCACCTGCCTGCTCCGCCATCTGAGCCATGCACTTCTACACGCTTCTCTTGGATGCAGATCTCACGGTGGCCTTCCTTCTCAGGGAAGACAGACGGGACGGACCTCAGGTCCGGGGGATGTGGCAGAAAGGGTGCGGTGCTTGCTCCAGCAAGGCTTCCCCGAGTCTCCCTTTTCTTCCTCATAGGCTGAGGGGCGAGGAAAGCGGGTAGAACATTGGCAGTAAGTAGCACGTGCCTTTGGGTGAGAGGTTCACCTGACAGTTCCAGAGGCATCATGACCCCAAAGCAGGATAGACTGGGCACCTGTCCTGGACATTTCCTAGTATTTATACATGAGTCTGCCGGTGTAGCTAAAGCTCCACTCAGCCTCTGTTCTGCTCACCAGTTCCCATCGTCTAAGTTACGCTTGGTACTTAGATGAGGAATTCATTTTCGATTCCTGTCCAAGGTCCACAGAAGTAAAAATATTTTCTCCTTATCTCTCCTCACCCTCGCTTAGGCAACACATGCTCTCTGTTCAAAATAAAATGCAGTGGATCCCTTTTACTCAGTGCAAGGACTTAGGACATCATTGAACATGTGCCTGGGTGCACAGGTACATTAGACTTTGCATTAAGCCCATTTGGACACAGGAGACCCTATGTGCCCAGCACCAAGTACAAGTTCTGGCAAAGGTTGGGTGCTGACAGCCATTTGTGGTTGAATATCAGGCTCTTGATTGCCAGGTTCAGAAGTTTGGGCTTAAGATGTTGACCCAAGAGATGGGGACTATTATGGCCCATGCAGACAAAAAAAGAATAGAAGAGACAATACAGAAATCTGTCCAAGTCTACACTGCAGGTAAAGCTGGAGCTGGGATTTGGACCTAGGGTCCTGATTTCAGATCCTGTTCTATTAACCACTGCACAGCTCCTTGGGTTATTTTATTGATTTGTATTTTAATTAATTGAGTTGATCTTTATTGACATACAAAAGTGTAAGATATTTAAGGTGGCCATTTTCATGATTTGATATACATATACATTGTGAAAATTCCCCTCTCTGCTTAATTAACACATCCATCACCTCACAAATGTATGTATTTCTTTTTGAAAAGAAGAATAAAGTTAGAGGGATCATTCTAGCAGATTTCAAGACTTATTTAACTAGAGTAATCAGGACAGGCTGGTATTGGTGGGAAGGACAGGAAGCCTAAAAATAGCCACACACAAGTACCACCCAAACTGCCCAGAGCAATTCAATGGGAGAAAGATGTTCTTTCAAAAGTGGTGCTGGAACAATTGGCATTTGTGGGCAAAACAAACAAAACACACACAAACAAACAAAAAACCACAAACACCTCAATCTAAACCTCAAAACTTGTAAAAAATTAAATTAAAATGGACCATACATTTAAATCTTTTAAAAGAAAACATGGGAAGAAACTTTCAGATGTAGGGCTAGGTGAAAAGTTCTTAGATATGAAAAGCATAATTCATAAAAAATCAATTAATTGGGTTTAATCAAGATTTAAAACTTTCACTCTGA